AACTGCAAGCAACCACCCCAATGTATATGGTGTGGTGGCGGTCACCTCCACAAGGAATGCCCCATAAAATGGCAGTACAACTGCATGTTGGTGGGCAGAGAGGAACCTGATCGCTCTAACTATTGAGGCTGCAGGCACGCCAAGGAAGAGATGTGAAAGAGAAAGTTGTAGAGACCATCCAAGACTGCAACGGGAAGGGTGTTCTCTTCCAGCCACATGAGCCCAGGTCTATCCATTGCAGTGGTGCTATGTAGCAATGCACAGCAACAGCAGGAGCCTCAGCCACCCTCAGTTGCACAGGCCTGCCCTGCCACAGTGGGAGAAATGTGTGCTCCCCTCCATTGAGGCACAGCCAACAACACGTACCAAGTCAGTAGGTTCAAGGTCGTAATGCAAACAGATTGTCTCTGACGGACATGTTCAAAGTAGTCACAGTGATATTCCAGCAGATCATGACAGCTCCATGGGATTGAGTCAGAAGAAGACAGTATAATGGCCGTTACAAAAATTGTATGAAAACTCGTGAAGAAAAATTGTTGCTAGAGTTCATAGGCGGTAAATATGGCTGCTAGCGGTGGCCAGGATCAGTTGTAAATGGCGAATCCTCAGCTGTCTGACAGTAATAAAAATCTGGTCTTGGGCCTCAGATGGGTGGTTGACATGAAGACAGTCTGGCCATCTGACTTTCAGTTGTTAAATAACTTTGACTCTACTTACAAATGGTGCACCTGGACACTGTGACCACAGATATACTTGTGCCAAAACTACAGTGCAACAATGATAGCACCTACACAAAAAGACTGACCCCTCTTTCATCAAAGAGGAGGCTGTGTTTCTAAACATGTACATGTCTAGGAGAGAATAAAAATCTTGGTCATGGATCTTGAGGAGACTGAAGCCAGGAATGACTGTGCTGGTGAAGGGTCATGGATCTTGAGGAGACTGAAGCCAGGAATGAGTGTGCTGGTGAAGGCCAGCAGCAATCTAACCGACCTATTGATCGAAAGCAAGCTTCACTGTGCTTGTGAGGGCCAGCAGCAGTTTAGCATTCATTCAGTCACTGAAGTGATACCACTCATGAAAGCTGCACACTTGCTTATCACACTGCAGGTCTGGGTTTCTCATGTGCAGCCCAGAGCCCCTAAAGGAGTGTTGTGTATGGAGGCGGGGTCGAATACTTCCACCATGACCCTGCAAGTTGAAGGAGGCAACAAAAAGGGAAGTCTCAATTCTGGGACAGTAAAATATGGTTGCGAGTTCCAAGGGACTTGGACCTGAGAAAGACCACGCTGGCAAGGGCCAGCAGCATATGCGAAAGACAGACCCGTCCTCTCGTCCCACAAAAATAAGACTAATTGTCAAACGGTAATATTTAATATCTGGTCATGAGCCCCAGATGGGGTTCGATACCAAGACTTACTGACACCATCAGTCGCAATATGACTTTGACTTTGTTGGGACAACTGAGGACTGATTCGGGGATACCTACCTGAAGAACTAGTTGCAATCACAGTTCTTCAACAGTAATGAGGAGTTGATGGAAGGTGCCAAGACATGGCTGAGCTCACAGGTGGCAGACTACTTTGACACAGGCATACAAAAACTTATTCCCTGAAGATACCAAGTTTTATTTAGGGATATTGTCTCATAAATTACTGAAATTTAATCAGTGTCATTTTAGCCATGTTTGAGAAAATTATCAGCTTGTGTTTTGGGGCTGATCCGGAGGGTCCGTAGCTTTGTAGGTGGAATGTTCACATTCACTAGGCACTGACCTAAGGTGCTTAAACTTTTGAGCACTGAACATGAATAGATTCTGTCAAATCATTCAGCTGGTGATGATGTGGCATTTGTACACCCATTCATACAGACAACATACCAAAACTACTTTTTTGTAAGCTAGGCGCTTCATGTAAATCCATCAGAATCTCAAAATCGATCACATTATTTTTGATGTTTACTACACATATGAGAAAGTAAAGGTAACAGAACTTAAATACACTGGGCAGAGGATTCATTGTGTGAGTAGCATGTAACAGTTGGTGACAAGCAATAGTCTGTACAGTTTCTTCTGTTTAGAGAATGATATTTTGTACAAAAATGAAATAGTGAAATGGCTGTTTATATTGACATGTGAAACAGGATGTCCCAGGCATCATCACAAGGAGTAAGTTATCTTGAAACTTATTTGTTCTGGTTCACATGAACTACTTGTTTAGAACCTCAGAAAATTTATCTATCTTTCTTCTGGGATATGATGCTGTGCAGTTTGGTGGGAATTTACCGATCTTCTGTAAAGCAGTGGGAACCTTCTACTAGACTGCATGGTGTCAGTCCACATCTGCATAGTCACTGCCATGAGAACCTCAAATTTCACATCATTATATCTAGTTGCTGCTTGGATGTGAATGTGTAAAAAATTTGGACATCTGGCAAATTATGTTGTTATATGACAACTGAAGTAAAAATGAACATTTCTTGACATAAATCTGTTTTTTAAGTTGAACATTGATGGATGCCAAAATGCACAGTCCATTGTTCTGGGCTAATTTGTGTATGTATTGGACCTAAATAGATGACAGAATGGGCAGTGGAATCCAGTTTAGCCTCTTGGTGTATGGGGCATTCTCATCATCTTTTCCTTTCAAGTGAGCATTGTAGATTGAGTTACTTACATAAGCCATAGGCCGCGCCATAGCTCAAGCGGTTAGTCACTGGCTTCCCACCGCGGTAGCCCGGGTTTCGTCCTGGGTCTGGTCAAATGGGATTTGTGGCAGACAAAGTGGCGCTGGGGCAGGTTTTCTCCAAGCACTTCGATTTCACCTGCCAATCTTCATTCCACCAATTGCTCCACAATCACCCTCACCTATCATCTGGGGCTGGTACAATAGGCCAGAAGTGGCCCCGGTACAAGGGACTTAGTCCCACCCCACTAGCAATAAAAAAATACACAAGCAATTGATGTTCTGAATGACCGTACAGATTTGAAGACCTGAGCCAGGTATATGTGTTTCACATCTTCATATTTCATATTCGTAAGATACAATTCAGTATTATTCTGTCATGTATGGACAGACCTCCCGGTTGGTCTGTTCTCTCAGGGTTTTCAAACGATAGCTTCATGTCCGTTTCACATTCACCCCTAGCATAATGCATGCTGTATCCATCTTTTTCTTTGTGTTTTAATTGGTGTAGCAATATTAAGTAAAAAGTTCAGTGAAAAATTGCTTCAGTGAACCATTACGTATATTAAGTGAATTTAGATGGACTCATGCATACTACTTAGCCAGTAGTCCAAAAAATGAGTTCTAAATATTGGACCTATCATTAAAGACTTAATGTTACGCATTAACCTACTTGAAAGCACAGTAGCCCATAATATCCAAAATAATCGTTTCAGAAATTAAGTTGTAATTGTTGCATTTTGAAAACTATCGGCTCTTAGCAAAAAATGGGTTTATGAAAATTTATCCATTTACTTGCATTCAGAGTTTTGAAATGAACAGTCCTTGTACTTAGTTGATTTTTTTAGAATAAGATTATAATTTTGACATGTTTGCTTCAGTATGACTTTGTATTCAGCTCTGAAAAGTGACAGAAAATTGCATTGACAAAATAATTAACATATTAAATTCTGTGAATACTTGCTGCTGTTCACTTCAGATTATTTTTCCTTCCATTTTCTCTCTTAATAATGCAAAGATTAATATACGGAATTGTAATTTTATTTGTTATGTATGAGTGACAGTGTGTTGTGATTATTGGAAGAGTGTAGATTAAAGGTGTTTGAGAACAGGGTGTCAGGAGAATATTTGGTTCCAAGAAGGAGTAAATAATGGGACTCTGGAGACAACTGCATAACAAGGGGCTTTATAACTTATTTCCCTTCAGCAAGTACTATCATGATAATTGAGTCAGGGAAGATGAGATGGGTAGGGCATGTAGCATGCATAGGAAAGATTGGAAACAAATGGCTCTATTTGGTTCAGGACAGGGACCAGTATTGGGGTCTCATGAAAGTGGGTTCCATAAAAGATGGGGAATTTTTTTATTAGATGAGCAGCTGTTGGAATTTTCAGAAGATCTGTGCTCCATTAAATTAGTTAATTAGTTGGTTGGTTGATCGTTCAGTTAGTCAGTTCATTTGTTCTCCCTATTCCTTACACAGTGAATTCCTTCAGTTTGCCAGAAAGGAAGAGGTTAAATATACTGAAAATTCATAACTGGAAGAATTATAAAGAAAATTGATAGTATAACATGTAGTACTTATAGGATATTGTGGGGTTACAAACACCACTCCATCACAGTGAAAATATGTGTAGAAGAAAGTGTAAATGTAAATGCTGACAAGTATGACATTAATTCACAGAAGGTTTTGGGAATGCTGAAGAAAATTGTTGTTGGTGTGTGTGTGATTTTTACACTGGTAGGACCTTAATTAAAATGTTTACAAAGGTTCTCATAATGATTATGATAGGATATCTAGATTTAATTTTAGGTGATGATTTGAAAGGCAAAAAGAAAAACTGTGTTTTATTGCATACATACATACATGCTATTGACATAAGTGATTGTTTCTTCGTCACTGTGTTTTTCTTTTCGGAATAAATTGAATAGCTTCATATTGTTACGTGCACGTACAAGATGGGGAGGGCGCTGAATCTGGAACACTTCTGTGTTCTTAAATATAGCACAGGTTGTGTATGAAGCTAAGTTGTAGCCAAGTAATTACCTCTACCATGTTTATTCTCTATAAGAATCTGTAAAGATCAATCACTTTCTTATATGGAATCTGTTCTTACTTGTGAAACTAGAGACAGCCAATAATGATATAAACCACATAGGTCCATTGTCATGAATGAAATTCGATTCAAGCGGAACTTTTTTATAGGGTGAAAATGAATATATCTTATTGCCTGTTGAATTAACCATAAGTTTTAGTAATTATTTAATGAAGTTAAACGTTTTACTAATTATCATGTTATATCTTTTTGGTACAGTGAGGATTGAACATCGTTTGACTCTTTTTTATCTGGCAAATGATGTAATCCAGTACAGCAAGCGGAAGAATTATGAATTTGTGGAGAGTTGGGGTACTGCTCTTCAGAGAGCAACAACTATGGTTCGGTAAGTCAGCTTTGTCTTAAATTATTTTAAGTGCAAATAGGCTCACAAAATCACTGTAATTACTTCCTCTGTAAATCATTATTTACCCTTGTCTTCTGAGCATAGCTTCTTCCGATATAAAATTGAGTTCTGATAAGGACTCATAAAGCATGCTGATGCATACATGTGTAGTTTTACAGGTTTATTGCTCTTATGTAATTTTATTTCTGTCATAAACTTGGTTATAGATTCAGTGTTAAAATTCATTGAATGTAATGTGAAAGTTATTCAGTAATTGGTCAACTAGTTCAGAAGTTGAAATGGGAGATGCACATACACAAGACAGTGTAGTTTTCTCAGGAGTGTACTTTCTTTATTTATGTAAAGTAAATAGGCAAATGACTAAAAAATGAATGCCCTAAATCAACCATAATTAATCTGAGCTTGTGCCATCTTTCCACATGCAGCCAGGCAGAACAGTGAATAGTTCTGCTGTTAATGCAGTATCCCTTCGTTTTTTTTTTGTTCCATAATCAAGCTGTATCACACTGAATTTGAAAATTACAGTGTTAACGATGAATGTAAATGGGTTAGTGCCCAATAGTAGAATTGGATGAGCATTAATCTCTGCTGAGGGGCATGCGGTAGTGTAGTTGGTTGAGGGGCTATGCTACAAGCCGGAAGGTTGCGGGTTCAAGTCCCGATGAGGTCATTGGATTTTTTTCAGTTGACCTAATCCTTCCAGCTGCACTAGGCCCTTGGGTTTACTCAGCCTCTAACAGAAATGAGCACCAGGAATTACAAGGTGGTTCAAATATGACCGGGACTGATTTTTTTTGTAAACAAGCCACACTCCGCAGCAGCCGTGTGACCTTGAGAGATTGAAGCCACAACCTTCACCCTCCCTCCTGTTAGGGTTAGAACCTGTTAGGTCCTGTCTGGAAGTTGCTAGAGTGATGCGAGAATAGAAGGTACCACGGAGCGTAGAACAACTCATTGTGATCAAATTCCTCATTGGAGAAAACATCTAGTCCACTGAAATTCACCACAGACTCCAACTCTCACGAACCCATGTGTTTGAGTGGTGTAAGTGCTTCAGAGAGGGCAGAGAGCGCATGGAGAATGAACCGCATGATTGTTGGCCGCGAACATCCATCACCGAGCCGAACATTGATCGTGCAGACGTGCTTATTCATGAGAATAGGCTCATCACTATCAAGGAACTTGGAGTAAGATCTGATCCAAGCAGAAGACAGGTGGAAAGCGGGTAGCCATCCTTCAAGAAAATCCACACCCCCATACGGCCAAAACAACAATGGAAACCCTTCGGAAATTGAAATGGAACCTTCTGACACATCCGCCGTACAGTGCCGATTTGGCTCAAATCAGACTTGCAAGGCATGTGGTTTGTGGACAACGACGCCGTCATTCCAGACTGTTCGGGAGTGGATACACCGCCAACCACAAGTCTTTGGGGGGGGGCATCAGGATGCTTCCAGAAAGTTGGAAAAATGTGTTGACTCCGGACGGGAGTACGTTGAAGACTGACATGTGCAAGTAAGTGTTTGGCAATTATGTTTTTTTTTTTTTTTTTAAATGAGTCCCAGTCATATTTGAACCACCTAGTAATTAAATAATTTTCCTGGGGAGTAAAGCGCGGCCAGCACATAAGGCTGACAACCTTACTGCCACGGCCTGGCACAGGGACAGCTTTACTTCTTTACTTTTTTTTTTTATTAATCTCTGCTGATTGTCTATTACAGTGTCACGTGTGAATGGTCGAGCTGGCTGAACAATGCATTTTTCAATATTACTACCATTGTCTTTTGATTAAAATATGGTCACCAGCCCCGTTATACCAGGAGATTTAAATTCTGTATTCTTGGATGATTACCATTTCATATTGTGTTCACTCCTATTGTATCCTAATTTTTAACAGATAATTCTGCAGTACATTATGTTTGTATTAAATACCACAACACCTGGCTAAATGGAGCCTTCATACTTTGTAGATACGAAACAGTTGTGTCGGCCACATGCATCCATATTTAAATAATGAAAAATATTCCTGTTTATTGGAAAACAAGGGAATGCTGTCACAGACAAACCTTAACCCTCAATATAACATACGAGTATATATATACATTATACCATACTTATTTTTCTTGGATAAGCATACCGTTTTGTGCAAACTTCTAGTGATTGTACTAATAAATCTGCTGGTTAATAGAACAGCACTGATGACTTCAAGATTTGAAATATGTTCTGATATTGAAAAAATAAATATTATATTATACTCTATTTGCTATTAGTAGGTTATATTAAACTGTAGATATATTGACAATGTAATTGCTATGTAGACAGTCATTAAAACAATTTGCTAACACACAGTCACTTTTGGAAATGAGCCCTTCTTGAGAAACTGAATTCATATTCAATTTTGCTGCTACTCATGAACTTCCCAGCATTTTATGGAACCCGAAGGTTCATTACTATGTTCACAAGATCCCTCCACTGGTCCCAATCCTGAGCCAAATTGATCCAGTCCATACCATCCTGACCTATTTCTGTAAGGTCCATTTTAATATTGTCTACCTCCCTATGTCTTGGTCTTCCTAGTGGTCTCTTTCCTTCTGGCTTTCCCACCAAAATACATATACCCTGTATATGTACGAGGGTCGTACTGAAAGTTGTGAGAAACAATCTTTTGTAAAGTAACATGCTTTATTATTGACAAACCAAGTACACCACCTCAATCTACAGACCTTTCTTTATTTTTCCACATAATCACCGCTTCTTTGTACACATTTCTCCCAGCGTTCTGGGAGTTTGAAAATTCCCCTTCTGTAAAATTCTGTTCCAGCCATCTGAAGATGCTGACGCACTGCTTTCTGAATTGCCTCCCGTGTCTCAAAACGTTGACAATGCAGCTGATCCTTCACAAATCCAAAAAGATGGTAGTCGAAGGGTGCCAGATCAGAGCTGTAGGAGGGGTGTGGAAGAACTTCCCACCTCATCTTTGCAATTGCTTCCAATGTGAGACGAGCGGTGTGGGGGCAAGCGTTGTCATGCAGGATGATGATGTTTCGTCCCGGACGTTTATCGCGCAATGCACAAAGGAGCTTGTGCAGTGTCTGGATATAATGAGCAGCATTGATGGTTTGCCCAGGTTCCAGGAATTTGGCCAGAATAAACCCCTCTGCATCCCAGAAGACTGTGCCCGTCACCTGTCACCTGTCACAATACAGAGCAAAAAATCATTGCCTTCGTGTCAATATCTCTGCAGCAGTTCTGAGGTGATGGCTTTTTGCTGACCTTTGTGGTCTTCAGTCAATAACTGCGGGACCCAGAGATCACAAACTTTCCTATAGCCCAAGCTTTCAATCATCTCCTGTAGTGCACTGTGCCCTATTCCAAGTTTTCGGGCTATTGTGTCCACAGTCACGTGCCTGTCATCTTGAATGATCTCATCCACTCTTTCCTTGTTGCGTTCAGTTGAGGTTGTTCGAGGACAACCGCTCCAAGGCTCATCTTCGATGCTGGTGTTTCACCTCATCTTCAAACACTGCTCGCACCCATGCACACACTTCCATAAGCATGCTGAAGACTGGTGAATTTCTGCAGCAAGGATTTCCTCTTTCACAAGAAATTCGATGACAGCACGCTGACAAAACGACATATTGTCGACCACTTTGTTAGGAGTGATACTGATCACGTGATGCAAGCTATTGACATTACAAGACTCTCAAGGTTAACACAACAGCTGGTTCCACCTATCACCGTACTCTGTTTCGTCTGCTGTTCCCAGGTTGCATGCAAAAAAAAAGTTGCTCATGACTTTCGGTACGACCTACGTATTACTCTGCTCCCCCATGCATGCTACATGCCCTGCCCATCTCATCCTCCTTGACTTGATTATTCTAATTGTACTTGGCAAAGAGTACAAGTTATGAAGCTTCTCATTATGCAGTTTTCTCCAACCTCCTATAACTTCATCTCTATTTGATCCAAATATTCTGCTCAGCACCCTGTTCTCAAACACTTGTCAGACTCTGTTCCTCCCTTAATGGCAGCGACCAAGTTTCACACCCATGCAGAACCACAGGCAAAATTATGGCTTTGTATGTTCTAATTTTTATGTGTTTAGACAGCGGACAAGAAGACGAAAGGTTCTGCACTGAATGGTAGCAAGTATTACCTGAATTGAATTTCCTTTTCATTTCCTCTTGAATCAGGTTTTGATTTGTTATAGTTGTTCACAAATATCTGAACAGTGCCACATTATCAAAACATCTGTTTCCTATCTTTATGTCATGATTTTGCCTTGCATTCTGGTGACTGAGACAGCAACATGTACTTAGTTTTCTCTGTGTTTATTCTAGACCAACCTCCTTACTATCGTTAATTGATGTTCTGTGTTTTTCTTTATGGTATATGTATTATCACCCAGTAGATTCACGTCATCTGCGTAGATCAACAGCTAATGTGTCCCATTTAATTTCAGTCCAACTTGGTTTTCCTGGACCTGCCTAATGGCATATTCTAAAGTAAAGTTGAAAAAGCAGTGGCAATGAAGCCTCTTCTTGTTTTGGACCATTCCGGATAAGAAAATTATTAGACAAATGTTTACCTATATGGACTTTATTATACATTATGTTTAAACACAATTTAATCAGTCTGAGCTCATCAATTTTGTCTTTCAGGTATTCCCTCTTTTTATTCCTGAAATACCTACTGGTTTCAAATCTTGTATTTGTCAGATTATCCCCGTTTATTTTGCTTTGATCCTGTAACCATTGCAGTTTGGCTTGTTTCCTGTGGTGTAATAATTTTGGAATCTTTCATTGAACCATGGCTTATGCTTGTTCAATTCTTTGCCTGAAATTTTGATATTCTCTCTTAATAGTTTCCCACACTCTATTAATATCCACCTCAGTCTCTTAAATTTTCCAAAGCTGCGACCCTATTTGAGATTTCAACATGATACTGCTCTTTATCCTCTATCTTGTTCAGTTTCTTGA